CAAAACCTTTTTGGGCTGGCGTTGGACTCTAAAGCTGGCCATACACCTTACAATTATCTGCAGATTTTCTGTGGTCAGATTGAAAAGGTGATTCCTCCCTCTACACTTAGCTGTGTGGATGGCGTAATCTCCACCTGGGCCAATCTGTTGCACTTTTTCTATCTGACCACAGAAAATCTGCAAATAATTGTAAGGTGTATGGGCACCTTAAGGGTCCACTCACATAAGAAGCAGACTTTACCGTCCCTCTGAAAAGCAGTCCACGATTACAGGCGGGTTGACGCTTATAGAATCGGCCGCTGTCACCCAATCATTAACTTGAACGTGTGACAGCGGCCGCATCTAAACTTGACGTTGGGATTTATGCCACATCCGTAGGTTCCTGCCACAGGAGTCACAAAACGCTAAGTGTGAATGTGGCCTGAATCAAATCAGAACTCCTCATCTGCAAACATGTCCTGGGCCTGTGACTCACAAAGTACTGAAGTCAATGGATCGGATTTATAGTCAGGCACCTAGCATTTTCAGGGAGCAATGGCAGACTACATCTCCCTCTCTTCCTCTCTCCCTCTCTCTCCCACCCCCCCCTCTTTCTTCCTCTCCCTCCCTCTTCCTTCCTCTCTTCCTTCCTCTCCCTCTCTCTTCCTTCCTCTCCCTCTCTCTTCCTTCCTCTTCCTCTCCCCCCCTCTCTTTTCCTCTTCCTTCCTCTCTCTCTCTCTCTCTCTCTTCCCCCCTCTCTCTCTCTCTCTCTCATTTTTTTTATATAGGTTTCTTTTAAAGTAAACTATACATACCTTCCAGTCATGACAAATGGGACTGTGGTCACAGCTGGTCCCTCTATACCGGTCACCTCCTTCCCAGCCAGCAATGTATTGCAGTCACTATTATTAGACAGCAAGTAGAGAAATGCTTTACTATGTAGTTGGAGATCATGGCAGTGACACTTCTCCATACGTCCCCTGCATTTGGTCATGTGCCCAAGAGACACATAGGGGTCTATTTATAAACAATTTGCCCTCCAAATATCTATGTATGTTCGCTCTCTGCAAACATATGCCAAAACAAACATTCTTTAGATTTTTTTTTTCATTTACAAGTGCAAATAATTGTTGAATGTGTTCATGCAATATCACATTATGGCCACGAGATGGAGCAAAAGGAGAATAGAAAATAAGTTATGTGCTCCTCATCGCCATCTAGTGGCCATAATGTGGTATTACGTAAACAAATTAATTTAAATACACTGCCTCATAAAAGAAACAATGAGGGGAATTTATCAAAACTGGAGCAGTTGTCTATGGCAACCAATCAGCTTCTCTCTTCAGTTTGTTCAGTTAAGATTTGAAAGTGAAAGACAGAAGCTGGTTATTTGCCATGCACAGCTGCTCCAGATTTTGTCTCCTCAATATGTTTTGGCATATATCCACACAGCATGAACATTCACAGATATTTGCAGGGCGAAGGGCCCTGTGGATAGTTAATAAATAGACTTCATAGAGAAGGATCACTGCTATGCTCCGACTACTTAGTACAGTACACCTCTGCATGTGGTCTCGGCTTAAATGTTGGGTAGAGGTACAGTATAGGGAATCCTGGTCCAAGGCCCACATCCGGACCCCAAACAATATAGCTTTGCCACTGTTTCCAATGGCTTCATAAATGCCACAGGAGAAACCTGGGACACAACTATGTTTTTTTTTACCAGCTAGAAAAGCTCCTAACCTGGCATAATCTCAATGCTTCTAGTTTTCTAGTGACACATCACCTGTGTTTCCAGTTTACACCCCAAAAAAAAGCGAGAGGGTCCAAGCCAGGGTCCCCAGAAGTTTTGGCTGTTTTACCCTATGTTACCCCCAATCTGAAACATATAAAAATCTTTTTTGGACCATCACTTGCATGGTATTCAGATATATTACTTCCGGAATCCATCCAGAGTCCGCCTGGACAATAGAAGATACCTAACCAGAGCCAGTGGGCTTCACAAATCTGAATGGGCTTTGGCAGTACTGGACCCAGACAGAATGATCCGGCGCCTCACATACACAATTCTACAACTATGCGAAGGTCATCTACACCAGTGGTTCTCAACCTATGTAACCTCATGACCCACATTTGTCCGTGGTCTTTAAGTTGCGACCCAAGTCGCACTGCACTGGAACGCACAGCATTCTGGTACCGCGCGTTCCGGTGCGGGCGATTGAACTGTGGACGGAAGGTACGTTTGGGGTGCCATTCAAATGAAAGGCAACGCAATGCGCCTTCCGCAACAGAACTCGTATTAGGTGCAATTGCAAGGTACAGTGTGTTAATCGCACAGGACTATTTACTGCGCTGCACACTGTACTGGTGTGAACAGGCCCTCAAAAACACTGAGAAACACACACAACCACAGACAAGATCTCACACACTCACAGACATTCTCACACATACATACACATTCCAAAATAAGATTTCATTTTTTTTTTTTAAGATCCTCCCAGTCTCCCTACCTTAACAGAACTGGAGTGGATCCTCAGCCTAGGGTCCAATGTGGGCTGCTATGCTGTGAGGGAGCTCCATCCATTTGTGCACTGCTTGTACAACTCTCTTGCGTGTCCTGTAGAGGTGCCGGAAGCCAGAATGTGAGGTCATTCCAGTCCAGGCACCTCTACAGGACATGTGAGGGAGCTGTAAGCAATGCACGTATGGATGGAGCTCCCTTGCAGCCAGAGCCCCAGCCCACCCCACCTCAAGCTGGCACTCGGCGCTGGGCAGCATATTTTAAATAGATGCTTGGCACGAGACCTGCAGTGCTGCACTAGGGGAGACTGAGGAGCCTCTTACCTAGAAAAGTGGAAGGCACGCGGTGACCCACTGAACACGGAGTCACGACCAGGGCCGTTCAGGGCGGCGGGGTTAGTTTCAATTTTTTTTTTTTACTGTCTCTTTATTTTTATCACTTTTTATTTTTTTATTCAATTATTTCTTCTTATTTTTTTGGGACGGCGGCCACACACTACGGTCCGCCACCGGGACACCTTACACCGACGCCCGCAACTTCCCCACAAGGTCACCGCTGCTGCCCCGAGGCCAGGCCTCGTGGCCTTGTGGGAAATCCAGGCCTGGTCACGACCCACTTTTGGGTCACGATCCACCAGTTGAGAACCAAGGATCTACACTACGTCCTGTGTTTTGGGGATACCCTTTGGGCTCTCCATGCCTTTCTATTGGTCAGTGAAGCTGAGTGTTGCTTTAGGTGGCCAAAAAGAAAGGTGGGAATAGGAGGTCCAGAAGCTAATCCAGGAAGCTCTGATTGAAGTTTATTTGGAAGGTGCCTGCTGTAAGAATCAAGGGCTGCCGTGGGAGGTAAGAATTCCCCACAGGTTTGCTTTAACATTACCCCAAACAGTTAAAATCTTACAACCTAAATTCTACCCTAACATTTGACCTTTCCACCAAGGGGTCCGTTTATAAACAATTTGCAGAGCCATTCGCCCCGTGAATGTTTTTTTGTGTGCAAATAGAGGCAATTACGAACGTTCCTGATATAGGTTCTATTAGAAGAGAACTATGGACAAACCTTTTTTGGCTGCAGTTCTCTTTAGGGTCACAGGAGGACATTTACTAATGTAACCCAAAACCCAGCATATAGCAAACTATTGCCCACTAGCAATACTACCCGAACTAGTGCAGAGCAGTGCTGCAGCCAGAAAGATCGACAGCTGGTTCTGCCTTTTCTAGAACCAGAGTCAGCTGTGCCCACCCCCTCCCCTGTCTGTCCCTCCAATGAGTGCTGGAGGAACAGAGAGGGGAGGGGGGAATCTGTCACTGTCACTGTTCTTTGCAGGGAGAAGATCAGGAACTCAGTGGTATGTAATCGCTCAGTTCTCGATCTATAGAGCCGACGTGTGCCAGCTTCAGAGTCACATGTTGGCTCTAAGTATGGGTATGAGTGTATTTCACTCATCCCATAGTTCTCTTTTAAAGTCGAATGTAATGTAATACTGCATTATGGCCACTAGATGGGGGATGAGGAGCATAGAAAATAAGTATTTATTTCTGATGCTCCTCAGCTCACTCTAGTGGCCATAATGTGGTATTACATTACATTCAACCTGCAAAAGAACACATAGTAAACGCCCCATTATCTGGCATTCAAGCAACCGGCACTCTCAAGCAACTGGCAAAATAAAAATCAAGGACATAATATGTCCTCGATTTTTTTGCGGTGGCTTGAAAGACATGTGCACACTAAAAAAAATTGTCAGCATCTAAATTTATTTAGTTGCTAGCACAATTCTCAGTTTTTGCTGCCGGACGGCGACTAGATCCCGCAGTTGGCAGCTGAATGTAAACAATTGGGAGCAATAGCCAACCTGCTATTGGCTATTTCAGATTGCAATAGCTAAAAGCAGGCTGGCTATTATTCAAAATAATGGGCTGCCAAGACATGTAAAAAAAAAGGCACAGGACACTTTTTCTCTAATGCAGCGCACTACTGAGTGGTGCAGCACCTTACGACGCAGGTACGTTGCCTTGCGTTGGGGTGCCGTTCAAAATCACCACACCACCACAATGCATTAACACGCGTTAAGTGCGTTGCCACGACATGGAAGTGGAAATGAGCCCTAATACTTTATGCGAAAATGATTTCACATCAAGCTGATCATGTTTACGTGTTAATCTAGAAAACACAATGTCATAGGGAATGTCATCTATTCCCTTGAAGCGGCGTGTTCCCAGCACTGCTGATTGGTTGCTATGCACTATGAGAACAGACAGTGATAAATAAGACCTTGAGTTTTTGGCTGGCCGCCCTCTTCTTGCAGGCTGCACCTGGCCTATTAGAAGCTGTTATCAGACAGGTGTGAGCGTGGCATTAACCCCTGCTCCTCTGATCTGCCATAGACATGGGATCCTGCTCTGGGATCCGGTATCCCTCCAGGAAGTGAAAGGGTCAATGCAAAAGCCTGTGCAATAAGAGAGGAGATGAATGAGAATCTCTCCCCTCCGCCATGTAGTCAGAGGATCTATGGCAGATTTCCTGGTGTGAGTGTCATGATTCAAGCAGGTAACGGTCTATAAGGAGCACCGCAGCATTAGTTTGCAATGCCATGGGGGGCTTCATGTAGCAGGACCATCATGCATGTGTCCTTTATATAAAGCAAAGGTAGTTGAGTCCTGCTGCTTTATTAACTGAGCAAATGTAGTCACAGACAACCTTTTATATCTTATTCAATCAGGGTAAAGCTCACCACAAGCACACGTTACAATCTGATTGGTCAACCTCGTTTTGGATCTACCACAAGTGTGTTGTACAAGGACCTACCTGATTGTATACAAATTGATTGGATAGTTCAGGTAGGTTGTCATATTACATAGTTTTGGTAAATCTAAAGTTGATGGTATGGCCAGATTGTAACATGTGCGGTGACCCTTAGGCCTCATGCACACAAAACGCAAGAGCAGAATTGTATATTGCGTATATGCGTGCACTATATGCAATCCCAGAATGCATAATTTGTAATCGAACTTTGAATGAACTGTGCGTGCATAAAATACACTGCCCGGGTCCATTCTGTTTTTGCGCATCTTCACGCTATGCAAATATACGGCTCCAAACGCAGCTATGTGTATGGAGCCATTTATCTGCATATGGGACAATACGCGCATATACACAGCGTATTGTACGGCAGTGTGAATGAGGCCTAAAAGCACCTTTTTACTAACATGGATCTGCATTGTATACAAAGCTTGACAAAGGTTATACAGAAGTGCTAATATTTGGCAATAAATCTTAAGATGTCTTCCTGGAGAAGTGGGTTGTATAAGTGGCTTTGTCTCACCCCCTGGAAGACCATGGTGCACTCTAAATTATATATATATATA